GAGATGTAAAAACTTGTGCTCTATATGTATAATATGAATTGAAATGCATTCTGCTGTCATATATAACAAATTAGAAACAATTTTTTAAAAATAAAAAGTTACAGCTTCCTAGTAGATTTTTCCTTTATCAATATTAAATATCTTTTTTGAGTTCCAGAAATTTTTACCTTGAATTCTACTTTGTTTGATAGTACTATTGTTGTAGAATCATCATGTGAGTACTTGGAAAGTATATATGTTTTTTTATATTCCTTCATTGTCAACAATTCTATTACACGTTTTCAGATTTGTCTCTGGTAAATAATAGATAGATAGGTTCTATTTTTAACCAAACTGACATATCTTTCTTACTAGGGCTGATAAAATTGTTTACATCTATTGTAGATAGAGATAGATTTCTATTAGTTTTACTATTTTTTTATTTATCAAGATACTTTTAAGCTTTCTTGCATCCTGTGGATTAGATTGTATTTTTCAATGCGTTCCTCCTTCTGCTTTGATGGTAATGTATTTTTATCTATTCTTTAGTTTGGGGCTGTGTACATTTTAATTCACATATAGAAACTCATACTTCCTTTCTAAAATGTCAAGAATATCTATGTGCTATCCTTCTTTACAAAACAAAGAATTTAGTGTGCATTTATTTCCTTATATACTGGTCCTTGCTCCCCCCACTACTATATTAATAATTTATGGAATTTTATTTCCAAATTGTTTATTTAACACAGATATATATATATATATATATATATATATATACACACACACACACACACACACACACACACACACACAACTAATTTCAAGTTAGCAACATTTTAAAAATGATGCATTTGTTCACCATGTTTTTTGTTAATTATTTTTTCTCAGATTTGGTTTTCTTCTTGCTGAAATCATCTGCTAATATTTTTTTTTTGCATTTTTTGGGTTCTTTTTTATCCTTAAATACAATAGAATTCATTTTGACATAATTATAAAAGCATGGAATATAACATCCTCCAGTAATTCTTACAAAGAAGGTAGATATAAACATTGTTTGAAAATGACCTTAATTTTGGAGAGAAACTGAACATCTGATTTATTCCATAGATGCTGGGAAGATCTGGCCTCACCTCTGCCTCCTCGCCCTTCCTGCTAAACTCAAATGACTATCAGCTGCTGAAACCTTAGCTCCTGTCTTGCAGTCCCCAAATCCTGTCCCATGACTCAGGCAGTCTGAGTTCCTCATTCCTTCTGACAATTAGACGGTGAACAGTTCTCAGATCACAGTGGAATACCAACTGAGCTTCCTCAGTGTAGCACGTCCGTTCTTCAGCTGTCTGCTCCCAGCAGAACAGCTGTCTTAAACTGAACTTACGTTGTGGTGGTTTTAATAAAGACTCAAGCTAATGGCTTCTACTTGTTTTCTTCATCCACAAATTCATCCTCTTTGTTAAAAAAATAGTTTGACTAAATATTATTTTCCTTAATTTAAAAATGTTTTTATTAGTCCATTATAGTTATACATAACAGTGGGGTTCATTTTGACATATTCATATATGCATGGAATATAATTTGCTCCGTTTCAGTCCCCAGTGCTTCCTATTCCCTTCCCTCTTTCCTCCACCTGTTCCCCTCCTTCTACTCTCCTGGTCTTCCATTGATTGATTGTTTTGCTACTGGGGATTCAAGCCAGGGACATTCAAATACTGAGCCACATCCCCAGCCCTTTTTTGTATTTTTATTTAGAGACAGGGTCTCATTGAGTTGCTTAATACCTTGCTAAATTGCTGAGGCTGGCATTGAACTTGTAATCCTTCTGCCTCAGTCTCCAGAGCCACTGGGGTTACAGGCATGTGCCACCATGCACAGCTATTTATTCTCTTTTCTTTTCTTTCTTTCTTTCTTTCTTTCTTTCTTTCTTTCTTTCTTTCTTTCTTTCTTTCTTTCTTTCTTTCTTTCCCTTCCTTCCTTCCTTCCTTCCTTCTTTCTTTCTTTCTTTCTTTTTTAAATTGGTGCTTTGTACCTACATTAAGGTGGAATTCACTGTGGTATGTCCATATATGTGCATAGTGTATTTTGTTTAATATCATTCCACATTTCCTCCTGCTTCCCATTCCTCCTCTCTCCTAATCAGTCCCTTCTTCTACACCACTGATGTCCCTTCTATTTTCATTAGATCCCCCTCCTTTTCTTTCCCCTTATTTTGCTCTAGCATCCATATGAAAGGAAATATCTGACCTTCGACTTTCTGAGTCTGGCGTATTTCATTTAGCACGATGTTTTCCAGTTCCATCCATTTACCAGCAAATGCCAAAATTTCATTATTCTTTATAGATAACTAAAACACCATTGTGTATATAGGCCATGTTTTTTTTTGTTTGTTTGTTTTCTTATCTCATGGCTTATGACCTCGCCACTGAGAAGCCTGTTTTCAGCGGTGATAAATTCCATATTTTGGAATTGGCATTTTTCCCTGCTTCTGTAATTTCCTGCTAGGGCTGAGAATTATTGCTGTGGTTACCCATGTACTTTCCTTTTTAGGGATCCATACAATTTCTGGTCCACCAAAAACCTTTCCTCTGTTTCACATAAATCCCAATATACTTAATTTTCCTTAAAATACGGCTTTACAAATCACACATAATGATTTTGTGTTAAAAGGGAAGATTTCAGAATATGTACAAATTGAAGAGTTATTTCTTATTTTTGTTTGTTTGGATGGGTCCACGAGAAACTAGCCCCCTGGGGTGTCCAGAGGAGAACATTTGGTTTCACTCTAGATATTTCTTTATTTGAATTTCAGCTTAGTAGCTTCCTTTTGATTCAAAACAATGAAGGACAAAATGTATTGATTACCTTCCTTTCTTCCCTCCTAAGGTTCCTGCCAGTTTTCTTTACCTGAACAGGTGCCCTGAATGTGCTTCTTACCTGTGTGAGCAGCATGACAGGCTCCTAGTCCTGTTTTCCAGTTGGGTTTGCTCAATGGGAGGCTTCAACTGGGGATCAGACAGTGGGAGGAGAATAAGGATGGGATATTTATCCCTGGCCTCCTGTCCTGCTGTACTTTGCCTAATCACCTTACATTGGCTCCATTCCCTTACTGAAGACAACAGGTACTAGGCAGCCCTTTGCATACAATGAGCCTTCCTTCCTCACCTGATCCTCTGGCCTAGGGGTAGCCGTGGCTTCCTCTGTGTGGAGAACTGCCTTTCATGGCTGGCTTCTCTGTGCCCTGCCTACACTTGGTAATTAGTTCCTTTATTAAACCCTCCTCAAATGACTCAGCTTGAATCTCACTTATTTTTGCCCTGGACACCAACCAATATAAAAACAAAGTCAAACAGAAAAAAAAAAATGAAAACCTAAAGTGTACAGGTAACTTAATTATATAGCTTGGTCTTTTTGGTGTTTCATAACAGAATAACATATTTAAGGAAGAATGTAGGTGAAGAAAGCTTATTTAAAGAAAATATGCCACAGAGGGAAAGTAGTAGTAAATGTTTTATAAGTACAAACTTGAAGTTTTCCTCCATTTCCCTGTTCAGGCTGTTGCTGGGTTTGGGGGCCTACAGGGAAGGAGTGAGTTCTTGCTGATACTCGTCTTGATGCAGAGCTGTGGGATTATGCTGGGAAGATTTATAGACTCTTAGAGCCAGAAGGGGCCAAGGGGACTAGCTAGTGCAGCCATGAACCACACAAAGCACTGCATGATTTGTGATACAGCTTTAGGTTGAATTCGTGAGGCAAATACTTAAAAGCCACCCGCACAGTGCTGCTTTTTTCAGTGTGCCTATTAAAATTTTAATGGCTAAAATACAGTACTAATTTCCTCACTGGAATTTCAGAGTAGCTAACAATGACAACAAGTAACACACGGGAACACGGACTGTGTATAAGAGACTATGTTCAAATTTCCCATAGTTCAAGGCTTTATGGGTACCATTTCATTCAATTCTCAGCTGAACTCCACATAGTGGATACTGTGGTTATTCTAATTTTACTGATGAGGAAAATAAGGTAAAGGAAAGTTAAGGGACTTATTCATCACTACAAGGTCATTAAGTGATGGAGCCTGAACTCAAATCTGAACTGTAAGACTCCGAATGCTCTTGTATACTGCATTGTTCCTTTAGTTACAACATGTATGCAGAAATGTGCATATACATCTAATAAGGAAATATTATTTTGTGTCTAATAGCATATCATATGCATTGTTCCATGTTTTTAAATACAACATAATGTCAGTTTTTTTTTTTTGTTTGTTTGTTTTGGTGTGTATGTGTGCGCACCAGGGATTGAGCCCAGGGGCGTCTAACTACAGAGCCACATCCCCAGCCCTTTTTATTTTTGAGATAGGGTCTAAGTTGCTAAGTTGCATAGGGCCTCATTAACTTGCCAAGGCTGGCTTTGAACTTGCAATCCTTCTGCCTTGGCCTCCCAAACTGCTGGCATTACAGGCATGAACCACTGCATCTGGCTCATATGTCAATTAAATTATTGAATCATATTCTGTTATATCAATGAATATATTTTGTTAAATCAATTTCATTGTCAAATACAAATTTGCTCTATTTCCCCTTCAATTATTCCTTTCTGATCTTGACTTTTTTCAATGTTATAATTTTTGACCCCAAGTTTTCCTTAACCTTCATATTCTCATCTGTAAAATTATAATTATAATACTTCTGTCATTGAATAATTAAGTAATATAATATATAAGTTAGCTACTATTTATTATACTCATTGTTATTCAATAGAATGCTATTTATTATAATAATTATTATTGAATAAAATGTTGCTCTTTGGATTCCAAAATGCAGTTGTTTTCTCTGCATATCACCTCATGTCAAGTGACTTAGCAAAAAAAATATGTGTGGGGGACACATGTGTGTAGGTTATGTGTGTGTCTATATGGATGTGAGAAAGAGAGCTTGCATTTTAATCAGAACAACATTTCAGCTACTAAAACAGAGGTTGCTGATTTGACATAGTGTTAATGAAAGAATATTACAAAATACTTATTTTTTTCCCTTTTATTTAAAATGTAGTTGTCACAACACATCATATAATGAATGAAGACCTTAGGATCACATTAAAAAATTTTAAAACATCTCTATATAGTCACAAAACATGAAACATGCTGCAAGGACACAAATGCAGTTTGATACCACAGTCTCAGTACATTTTCACCATGAAAACAAACAGGGAAGCACAGACTGTACAAGGGTTTTCTCCATTTCAGCAGGAGCTGACGTGTCTGTTCAGTGGGGTTCTTTCCTTGGAGAATGTATCATTGACAGAGTTTCACAATCTCATTGAAATTACCACTGATTTCTACTTCTGAAGGAGTCATCATGTTAGAACCACAACACAAGTTTGCAACACATATTGGCACAATATGAAAAATAAACACTTTTTTGAGTTTTCAGCTCATCGCAACAATTGATTTTAAATAAATAATTATTCCTTATAGTGCATATTTTATTTTACGGTTCATTGCCCATTGACACGAATGATGCTGAATAAATAATACAGTAGGTAGTCTATTTACGTCTTCTTTCATAATTCTGCATTGCACTCCTTTCATAAGCCACTGAAAACAGAGGGGAAATAAAGTGTATTTTAAGAAGATTGAGTGAGTTAAATAATATTCAGTGCACACAGTAAATTAGTATAAATTTGTAATAACTTTTTCCCTCCACTGAAGCATGGCTAAGAATTTTATTTTTACATCTTCTAATCCTGCCTCACTCTCTATTCTGATTCTAAGTGATCTAACCACAGAACACTTGGACTCTTTGGTCATATGTTACATATTTGATGCCTCAAAAGCAATATATTGTATTTTTATGATATAGTGCAATGTTGATCTTCAGGAGCTTTTTCTATGTATCATGGCAGATATAGAGACATGCTTAGTAAATTATGGAAAGGATCATGCCTAAAGTAACTGGGAATATTAGTAGGATGAAAGTGAAGTATGAGACTTTTATTCTAGGACGAAGGTCAATAAACTACTGACCATGAGGCAAAGCTAGCTCACCCTTTACTGTTGTAAATAAAGGTTTATTGGAACACAGAAACTCAGTTTATTTATATATTATCTTTGGCTGCTTTGACTTTAATATGGCAGATTCTAATAGATGCTATCAAGTTGGCATGGCTCACGATGCCTGAAATATTTACGATCTGGTTCTTTTCTGAAAAAGTTTGCTAGTTTCTGTCTTAGAAGTACATGATGCTATGAGGGTCTCTTCCTCTCTTGTGGATACCTCCCAATGATGGACTGTTCTTGAGGTGACAGGCAGACTCATTTTATGTAGGTAAGTCAATTGAGCCCTCTAAATACAGCACAATTTAACTTACCTCCTAGCACCCTACTGGCCAGTGAAATATTAATTACTGCTTCCAAAGGTACTTAACACAAAACTCGTAAGAAATTTAAGTACTTTGACTCTCTGGACAAAAAAAAATGCAAGCATTGTATTATATTTAATTTCAAAGGGATCTATGAGCACAAATGGGTAGGGATCAGATTCTTAAAATACTATATCTAAGAATATTTTTCATCAACTTAGCCAATATTTCGTATACTTAGATTTACATTATAGTGAAACTATAGTGCTTTTTGAAATTCAGTATGCCCTGAATAAAAATACTTAATTTAAGTAGAAACAGCAGAAGGAAGATCCGTAGGAATCATAGAAGGTACCCTACAGTTTCCTTACTGAGAAAGGTTTATTGAGAGAAAAGATAAGTGCAGACACCAGATTTAGCACTTCCTCTAACACTGACCTCTAATGTCCACCCACCCTTAAGTGAGGTGAACAATAAGTTGAATGTTTTGCATCAATGTTGTCTGCAGTTCCGAGGTGGGACAGACTGAGCCCCAAGATGGACAGTTCTGAAGGAAGGAAAAGTTCCTTGGTCTGCCTGGCTGGCTTTTATCAGAAAGAAGGTGATGAGCACAAGCTCAGTCCCTGGCAAGCCAGGGTAGCTACCTTTATTCCCACAGTTCCATTAAAGAAAGGAGATGAATCCTAATTAAACTGACTACAGACAGATTAACGATTTAGCTGGGGCAAATATGTTTTTCCATGGAAGCAGAGTTTCTTACCTGCTCCTTAAACCCTCTGAAGATGTATGCCAACTTTTGTGTGCCTGAGCTGGTGTGGGTTTCTCTGGGAAAGGGTTTCTAGATCATCTGTGACTGTGAAAGGCTAAGGATCAGGTGGCTGTGGAATGTGAGTAGGATAACCTTGTCCCACTGACCATATGAAGAGGTTCTTGATAAACAATGGATCATTTTTTTTTCTTTTTAAATTTTTTAACAAATAGAAGAACAAAGATTTACTTAGAAGATGATTCTGCTTTATGGCAGTGGTTCTATGTATCATACCTATAATTATTACTTTGGGTACAATTAATCTGTTCTAAACTGCACAGCATCTATATTATTTGTCAAGCATGTTCTGACAGCTATATCAAATCTGGAAATAGAGAGAAGATGACTAATACAATTACGAAGAAAATCACAGTGAAGTAAGGACTAGCATGTATGGATACAAATAAATGTCTCTGTGGTTTAAATTTCTATCCCATTTCCTAAAGCTAGAAGACAATATATAAATAAAACAATTATAAGTTTTTCATGAAGTACAGTTGTAACTGTACTTAAAACAAGATTTTATAACGTAAAATTGAATCGGCCCAGAACTACTGGTGCAAAATACAAAGGTAGTGTCTACATTTAGAAAGAGAATAATCAATAAAAATACTAGGATGACTATTTTTTCATGAATCTAGATAATTAAGAATTAAGTCATCACAACTTAGTTATAGATTTTTCAGAAACTAGATTCATTCTAAATGGATAGGACAGCTGCTGAATACTTTCTAAGTAATTAGATGACTACTATTTTAATTCCAAGTAAAATAAAGAGAATATGAATAGCTTTTCCAAGGAGCCATAGCTGAGGGCTAACCAGGCTTGAAGGTGCTTGACAAAAAGTCAGTTTCCATGAATATGATAAAGGAGTTATTTAACCTTGAAAATAGTATGATGAAAGAGTTAAGAAATAAGGGTTTTCAGATATACGTATGTAGCATTTACACAGACAATGCAAACTCAAGAGAAAAAGAAAACATGCAGCCTTTATATCAAGCGAAGGAGTTGTTCAGATTTAAGATGGGTTATGAAAAGTGTGGCATCTCTTCTCTCTAAGGGTTCCACAGCCAGAACTGGCTAATGACACTCAAGGATAATTTGACTGTGTTCCTTTTTGGAGGCATTGAAATGTATCATAGCACTTTCATCCTTTCTAACATGCAGCAAGACATTGAGATTTGAACTTCTATAACTTTATAATGAGCAAGTGATTTGAATAACATTTTTCTTTGTTTTATTACTATTTATATTTGTCCTCCCTGTACCCACTCTTCCTGCCTCATAAGGTTGAGTAGAGCTTAGTGAGCAGATCTAAGAGAATGAGCATGACACCAGCCCAAAGATTCAGGGTGGGTAATGATTAAATTGAACAGACTCTGGTAAAGCTCACGGTTTGAGAGAAATCAACCAATACTATGGTGATATTAATATATATATATATTATTAATATATATATATTGGTGATATTAATATATATATGATATTAATATATATATATATATATATATATATATATATATATATATATATAATTAGCTATAAATCTACTCTTGGCTCAGGTGCTACAGCTAAATTTTTTCACTATCATTACTCATTTTAAGTCTATTATTCCTTTTGAATATTTTGAAAACTATGCCTTATAAAAATAATAGAAGCAGATTTGAGGTACTGTCAGTCATGATTTCATACATACCAGAATTTAAAGCTCTTTTTCCCATTAGTCCAACAAAGGAATCTGTTTTATGCCCTGAAAAAATACATTTAGGGGTATTTTAATATGTATATCTTTGAGGATATAACTCTTATAACTAGTACAAAAAAGCACACTTTTGAATATATGCCTATATAAAAAATATGCATCTAATTCCAGTTTTGGCAAGGCTAAAGAAATAAATATTCCTTGTAAGTTGTATAAATTATACTAAAACAATACAATGAGAGAACTGTTCTCAATTCTTTAAATAGTAGCAAGTACCTTTCATAATATTATGTTTTATCTATTATACAAAGTTGTAAATATTGTTGATATTTGAGCCAGCTTTGATTTTGGGGGGAGTCAATTTTACATTTGTGTGAGAGAGAAATATCCAAGTTTATTTCTTCACATTATTGAATGTTACATTTCTTAGCAAGTGAACTTCAGTCAATTCTTGTCCTTGGTGATTGTAATCTTCTAAAAGGTCACTATTTTATTGAATTAAAAAATATACCTTGGGAAAGTATATTTGTTTCTATGTTAGTAGAGTACACTTATTTTTATTATATAGATTTTCACTATGTATAGACGTCCCTTGAAAGTCAAATCCTTAGAAAGTAAATATGAACAAAATATATTTATTTGCATAAGTAAAGTCTTCAGAAAAGGTTATGATTTCGATGTTAGTGTGAGAATTTCTCTTGGTTTTTAGTGTATTAGTTGAGAATAGGGCTACTACCTTACTAGGGCCTACTCTGCCACCCAGGGAATCAAATCCAAGACAGGGTGCTAAGTGGGCAATATGACTAAGATGGGTCCTTGGGACTCCTGTCGACTTTGGTTCTATTAGCTACAAACTAGGATCTACTGACCTTCCAGTACCACTGTTCTTCACTGTCCTAAGAAATGTTTCACTGTACTTTGATAGAGCTTCCCCTTTCAATTATGGGATCAAAAAAATTGCATCTCTATCCATCTTTATGTTTAGTGTGGATTCTCTGCTCAGATATTCACTCACCCACTTTAATTGGCTGCTACATGATCCCCCAAAATGATGTTATGGGGTTCATCTCACTAAAATGAATTAGAAGATATCTATAAATGCTTGGGATTTTTTGCTGTGTAAGTGTGCATGAGGAGGGGCTGGAAATGAATGTGTGGGATGGATTTCTAAGCCTAGTATTAAAATTCTAAAACTAACAATTTAGGGTAGTTAAAGGACATTTTCTTTTTTAATATAATGCATCTTTTCAGTAAGTATAAGTCTAAATAACAAAGTTTGTCAAATTAATTATTCATTTAACCATATTCTGGATGAATTTCCTGCATTCTGACATTGTATTACATAAAGTAGAATTCAATACAATTAAAATTAGCATTTGATAAATATCAAAATAATTTAGAGCTTACTTTTGTGAGAGATCTGGCCATGTCCTAGAAGAAAGAAAGATAAAATTAGCAAACACATATAGTTTTGTTTTAAAGAAGTTACACAATATCTTTTAGAATTATAAAATAAATTAACTTTCAAAATATGTAAATTTTCCACTTATGTGCTATCCTGAAAAATACAAAATAGAACTAGAAATGCTAATCAAGTTAATAATAATAATAAAGCTAGATATTTTAACAAACAAAAGGAATATCTATTAAGCAACATCCATGGGTCAAGAATTCAAACCCAGAGGGACTCTTGAGGCTTGTTATTAACTATAAATCTATGCCATTTAAGAATAGCCACCCATTTCTCTCCCTCCCTCTCTCTCTCTCTCTCTCTCTCTCACACACACACACACACACACACACACACACACTTGCATGCACACCCCTCATTTGGAGGGTATGCAAATCTATCTCTTAATTAAACAGAAATAATTAAGATCTTGTATTTCAGCCCATAAAATATTTCTTCACTTTCCTCCTACATGTGCATTCACAATAGTAAAATAAGGATTTATAGGAGTGTTTACCATAAAGAGCCTTTAACAGGGCCACTTGTTTTTCAATTGAGGAATCTGACAAGAGACGAATGGACATTAACTATTCACAAGTTTCAGGGATGGTGGGATGAACTCAAGGAAACTGAATATTTCTATCGTGCAACAAGGGGCAGCCAAATCTAATCTAACCCCAGACAATGTTCTGAAGTCAGTTTCCACATGCACTTGAACCATTCAGAGTCTCTCCTGGAGACCCCTAGCCTTCCCCTTCTTAGCGGGGGGATCTTTAGACAAGAGTGTGCTTAGTAGCTAAGGTTGGTTCCTGCTTTGGGTCTCTTGAATTCCATGAAACAGGTGAAACAGATCTTGCCCTTCTAGGGGAAAGTGCATGTGTTAGGTGCGGGCCAGAATCTCATCCTGAGAGTTACACCTCTCTTAGGGTGGCAATGTCTATCAAAAAGCAAGAGACACTTGGCTGCTCCAGGAGCAAGCTAGCGAACAGGGCGGCTTGCAGGGGAAGACCTAGGGACCCTTGTTTATCTCACCAGCATCCCGTTTGCCCATTAATCCAAAGAACTGCTGAGGTTTGGGTCTCCGGGCGATTCTCTGCAGAAGATGCTCAAAGGGCTCCGGCAGCTCTTCCTGGGGGACAAATCGGCGTGTAGGTAACTAGAATGAGGCTCCCTGTAACCCCAGCCATTCTCACCGTGAGCTCTAATACCTCACCAGCCTGGACTGCCGGCTGATGTGCTCAACTCGGGAAGGCAGCTTCGCCCAGAGAAGAGAAGCTGGCGGGCTCCCCAGTGCAGAGACTAAGTGGAGCCTGTCCCGGGCTCCACATCTCTGCCTCTACCTGCCCCGGGCTGCCTCCTTCCCATAAGCCGACCCTGGCTGGTTGGCAGTCCCGCGGCATCTTTCAGCCCAGAGCTCTCTCCGCTCTTTCCTTCCATCCCAAAGAATTTTACTTCATCCACTGCGCTGCCACCCTCGACTGGCCACTGGTGCTGGCTTTGGAGACCCCTCACTGCCCCAAGGTACACAGGTGTTCGGGCGGCGGGGTTGGGGTGGAGAAGGGTGACAATGCTTTTAAGCGACCTGCACCAACCACTTACACTGTTAGCACAACGCTCCCAGCCTCGCGCCAACCTGCGAGCCATCTAAAGGGAAACTTGTGGCTACTTTCTCAGATCCTCAAAGTAAGGATCCAGGCAAGAGGTTAGCTTCCCACCCACCTCGGCCCTTCTAAGTTCCCTGAAGCTGGTCCTATTCATTGCTTCTGCCCGCGACCGACGCGCCCTCTTCTGTCCCTAACATTTCCAAACGCTCCGGCAGCGCAGCTGGACGGAAGCCCCTGAAATCTCTGTTACTAGGGAATGAAATCTTGTGAGGTTTCCAGGTTTGGGAGGACAGGGGCTCATCAGGAAGGCGATCACTCATTCAGGGAGTTCCTGGACCTGTGTAGGAAACTTGGATCTTGGGCACAAAATCCTGAGGAGAACCTGGGGGTGGCGCCCCTTTACACCCCTCCGAGCGCTTCTACTGTCTCTGGTGGCGGACTCGGTGCCCGCCAGGCTAACTCGGGTGCTATCCTAGGGGAATGGTAATGGCTCCGACCCAGGAAAAGCAGCGCGGGCCGTGCCGTATAGAGTCTCACCTTGATCTGATCACTGTCGGACCAGTCGGACCAATAATTTAGGTCATCGTTGGCACCGATTTCTTCCGCAAACAGTTGAGTGGAGACGAGAAAAAAGACTGCCAAGGCCACGAGGATTTTCATGTTGGATTTCTGGGAAGAATGCAGGAGAAGACACCAATGAGAGGGAAGGAAAAAACACGTATATAAACCTCTAAGAGTTAGAGCGGCAGAATATTTGGCCCCACAACGGAACTCGGGTCCAGTTTAACCAAGATAAAAAGCATAAGAGGTACATCTCTCGCCTGGACTCTTTAGGAAAGAGAACCACTCCCCGAGGATTCTCAAATCCCCTTGTCCCCTAGTCTTAGCTCCCCAGACCTAACCCACTAACCCATACCCTCGAGTCTGAAGGCTCCGCAGGTGGAAGACAAAGAGGGGCGTTGGCACTTGAGAAACAAGTCTCCCCACAGTCCCCAGAAGCAGCCGCGCACCGGAAGGTCGCGTGTGGCCCCCCTGGACAGATGCGCAATGGGGGAAAGCCCGGCAGCCACAGCTGGCGGTACGCGGGTACTTACTGCAGCGGACCGACCCGCAGGGATCCTGTGGCGTCTGAGCGCAAGCCTAGCGCTCAGCACTCTCGGTTGCAGCTGTGGTGGAGGAGGAGGTCCGATCGCGCTCTTTCGCCTGCTCGGTGCTTCGCGGTATTTATCTCAGGCGTGACGAGCTTCGAGACACACGTGACACTCTCCCCACGCGACTTTCAGCTCAATATTTAATTAGCCGCCTCCTCTCCTTTCGCTTGCGTGATTGAGAGTTTCCGAGACAGTAACCCGTCGGTTCCCATAACATCTGGACCCAATTGGGTTCTAAATGACGCAATTTTAGGAAAATCCAGTTCTCGCCATCCAATCCAGAGCAGTCTGTCTTCTTCCATCTGCAAATCTGACGCCCCCTCCCCTATCCTTCGGAACAGGGCTCAGGGACACCTGAGATTACTCATCAAAATTGAGCAAAGTGACTCATTCCTCGGACTTCTACAACTTTTTTTTCTTTTTCCATCTGGAGACGTCAGGATAAGTTGCACTTTTGAGGGCGGCCAAACAACTTCAGGCGTTGAAATTCTGTCTTAGGAAATCAGGCTACGAAAGAAACACCTCGGTTGGGATGTGGATTTCCTTTCTCTCTCTCTCTCTCTCTCTCTCTCTCTCTCTCTCTCTCTCTCTCTCTTCTCTCTCTCTCTCTCTCTCTCTCTCTCTCTCTCTCTCTCTCTCTCTCTCTCTCCCCTATTTCTACCTTCCTAGAGTTTTTAGTGTTTCTGAGCTATAGCATCTTCCTGTGACTGCAACGTTCCTCTCCTAAATCAACCAGAATACTGTCATTTCTTCAGCATTACAAAAGGATTTTCGGAGAATGGAAACAGGTTTATTTTACCCTTGGGAGATAGGGGAATTGAAACTTGGCACTGCTTGTAGAGATTACTCTTGCATCAATGCAATCCTAGGATGTCTTTTGTTTCAAAAAGTCCTATTCCTTGCCACACCCAGCAGCAGGGGTCGGGTGGGGTCGAGGGGAGTAAATGTCCAAACTGTTCTTGCTGAAAACCCCAAACTAGCAAGACGGTATGAGGAGGATGCATATACCGTGTCACTAAAGAGCTTAGAGATCAACCATAGAGTTCTCTGTATCTGAAAGTATAGTGACAATGCCAGCTGCGTGGTCAATAGCAAATAAAATTATTTGACAAATAACATCTGTCAAAAAAAAATAACATCTGTCGCACAAATTACATTTCTTTCACCTCTACAGGAACTAAGTGCTGTCACATTTTGTTTTGAGTCGTTCTTAGTATTATTTTTTCAATTAATTGTATTATGTAGTGTGTAAAAGGAATAGATTTTTGCAACTCAATTAAACCAATACCATTTTCCCCTCTAATATTTGTTCTTTCTTAACCTTGAAGTTATAAATTCCCACGTGTCTCATTTGTTTAAATGTAAACTCACAATATGAGCATTTTAATTTTGTTTTCAAAACACTGTGTAGGGAATATTATAAACATGCACAAAAGTAGAAAAGCTAATCCAGTTAAAACAATTTTTAAGTTTTTATCTACAACTTTTCCTAATCCCCCCCCCCACCAGAATATTTTAAGCAAATTCCAGACAGTTCATCATTTGCAACTGTAAATGTTTCAGCCAGTCTATCTAAAAGGTAAGGATTTTTTTCCTAGTAAAAACATAACCACATTAACATTCCATCTAAAACAACATAATTCATTTTGCCATTAAATATCCATCAACATTCAAGTGTTCTCATATAGCTCATAAGTTCTCCCTACCTCATATAATTTACTGGTTGAAATCAGAATTATAATGAAGTTCATACAACACATGTCTTATCTTTATCAGACCAGGCAGCTATAATGGAATTCCTTGAGCTGGGTTTCTTATAAACAACAGAAGTCCCTCGGTCCCCACCCCCCCAAGTCACAGTTCTGAAGTCTAGAAGTCTGAGATGAAGGTATCAGCACTGCCTGGTTCTGGTGAGGGCTCTTTTCTAGGTTACAGGCTGTCTGGCATCTTGTCTCCTTTTTGTATCTTCTAATGGCATAAAAAGGGCAAAATACCTCTATGGAATTTCTTTTTTAAGGACACTAATCCCATTCTTTTTAAAAAATATTTATTTTTGAGTTGTAGGTGGATACATATCTTTATTTCACTTTCATGTGGTGCTGAGGATCGAACCCAGTGCCTCACTGGTGCTAGGCGAGTGCTCTACCACTGAGCCACAACCCCAGCCCCACTAATTCCATTTTTTAAATTGCTTATATTTTTTAAATACATGACAGGGAAATGTGCCGCGTCCGGCCAAGGGAGCCGAGTCCGGCGAGGGACGGCGAGGTTAAAAGACACACAGGACACCAAGGTTCTTCATCCAGGAGTCAATAATCTTTATTGCTAACACACCTTTTTTTATACCCCAAGCAGCAGAAGTGGAAAACTACCCAAAAGCAGGAGGGAGGGGGGAGAAATTTAGTTTCAACATCTATTATTGTCAGGTACTGAAACCTCCCTTAACAATAAGTCCATCAGACCAGAAAAGGTCAAGGCATTCCCGTGGGATACATATGTCTCAGACGGACAAGCAGGAACAGAAAAACCGCAAGTTCGCCATGGCCTTGTGAGCTGGCCACACTGGCATGCAGAACAAACTAGTGGAGGTAGGGCTCCAGGGGCCAGGGTGGACCTGTTGCCAACAGAAATGCATCACAATTCTTATTACTCATATAGAACACAATTTTTCATATCTCTGTACATAGAATATGTTCACACCAATTCATGTCTTTATATATGTACTTTGGATAATGCTGTCTATCACATTCCTCCATCATTGCTAACCCCCTGTTCCCTTCCTTCCCCTCCCACCCCTCTGCCCTATCTAGAGTTCGGCGATTCCTCCCATGCTCCCTCTCTCTACCCCACTATGAGTCAGTCACCTTATATCAGAGAAACCATTTGCTGTTTTTTTTTGGGGGGGGGGATTGGCTAACTTCACTTAGCATTATCTTCTCCAATTGCATCTATTTACCTGAAAATGCCATGATTTTATTCTCTTTTATTGCTGAGTAATATTTCATTGTGTATGTATGCCACATTTTTTTTAATCCATTCATCTACTGAAGGGCATTTAGGTTGGTTCCACAGTTTAGCTATTGTGAATTGTGCTGCTATAAACATTGATGTGGCTGTGTCCCTATAGTATGCTGTTTTTAAGTCCTTTGGGTATAGACTGAGGAGAGGGATAGCAGGGTCAAATGGTGGTTCCATTCCAAGTTTTCCAAGGAATCTCCATACTGCTTTCCATATTGGCTGCACCAATTTGCAGTCCCACCAGCAATGTATGAGTGTGTCTTTTTCCCCACATCCTCGCCAACACTTATTATTGTTTGTCTTCATAATAGCTGCCATTCTGACTGGAGTGAGATGGTATCTTAGAGTAGTTTTGATTTGCATTTCTCTAATTGCTAGAGATGATGATCATTTTTTTCAAATATTTGTTGATTGATTGTATATCCTCTTCTGAGAAGTGTCTGTTCATGTCGTTGGCCAGATAGCCTCTTCAATAAATGATGCTGGGAAAACTGCAAATCCTCAACTCAAAGTGGATCAAGGACCTAGGAATTAAACCAGAGACTCTCTATCTATTAGAAGAAAAAGTAGTAGTAGTAGTAGTAGTAGTAGTAGTAGTAATCTTCATCATGTGGGGTTAGGCCCCAACTTCCTTAATAAGACTCCTATAACGCAAGAATTAAAACCAAGAATTAATAAATGGGATGGAATCAAACTAGTTTCTTCTCAGCAAAAGAAACAATCTGTGAGGTGAACAGAGAGCCTACATCTTGGGAGCAAATTTTTACCCCTCACACATCAGATGGAGCACTAATCTCTAGGGTGTATAAAGAACTCAAAAAACTAAATACCACTAATCCCATTCTCAAGGGCTCCACCCTCATGACCTAATTACCTTTCAAAGGCCCTCATTTCCTACTGTTGCCTTGGGTTAGAATGTCAACAAATCAAGTTTATTAGAGACTTGAACATTCAGTTCATTGTATGTCTCTTATATCTCTTCAACCAATACTTCTTTCTTCTCTTCCCTTCCCTGTATTATAGTTGTTGACAAAACAGTTCAGTAGAGTATATTACATTCTGGAATCTGTGAATTGCTTTTAAGCTTTTTTCCTGTGTCCTATTTCCTATTAATTGATAATTGTAGTATCTAGAAACTTGATTTGGTTTTTATTTTATTTTTTTAGGCAGGGCTACTTTACATGTGTTCCACAGTTCTGCTAGTATGCACCTGATACGTAGTCTTTTCTCCTTTTGAGATGTCAACAACTATTGATAATCACTTTCTAAATCCTTAATTCATCAGTAGTTTCAAAATAGTGCTATTCCTATTTTATCATTTATCAGCTGGCTTATTTCTTTCTTATAAAGAGAAACATTTTTGTCAACAGCTATTTAATTTTTCCAAGGTAATTAATATAGGGTAGATGGGATAAATGCTTAATTATGTGCTTCTACTAATTTGAAAAATGAGTTGCCAAATTAACACATTCAAGTAAGACCAATTTCTTTTTAAATTTGGACTATGATGGCCTCATGGATTTAGACACATTTGAAACATTTTAATCCATGGTAGATAGTCTTCCAATTTGTCCTCCAGTTATGACATTCTTGGCCAGCAGGAAACCCTTCAAATTGACTCCTGGGACTTTTTATATGCCTTTAATAAGATCTGATAGTGTTATGGTGTTATGGTTTAAAGCTCATGTGTGAATCAATGCAAGAAAGTTTAGAGGTGAAATGGTTGGGTTATGAGAGCCTTAACCTAATCAGAGCATTAATCCACTGACAGGAATAACTCTGTGATAAATAGGTAGAGTGTGGCTGGAATAGGTGGGTCCTGGGAGGAGTGCCCTTAGGGTTTTTATTTTGTCCCCTGGTATGGGGGGGGGGCTGTCTGTTTCTCTGTGCTTCCTGATTGCCTGTCCTGAGCTGCTTTCCTGTGCCTTATCCTTCCTCCATGGTGTTCTGCCTCACATGAGTCCAGAGCTGTGGAATCAGCCATATATGGTCTGAGACCGCTAAAACCATGTATGCCAAATAACCTTTTCCTCCTCTACAATTGTTCTTATCAGGTCTTTTGATCACAGAGACAAAAAGCTGACTAAAACAAATAGTTTTATTGGTTTCAGTGCAACACAATGTTTCAGGTTTAAGTTATGTATTTCCTGCCTCAGAACTGGAATTTCTCTGGAGAAGCTTCAATTTCCTC